TTGCCCAAATGGATGTTTTCCCAGAAAGGATTTGGAAGATTTGTCCTCGTTCGGGCTCTCTCGGGGCTCTTCTTGGAGCCCACTTGGAGCAATTTGGGCGCCTCTTGGGTCGTCTGGAGGCTATCTTGGGCGTCTGCGAGAGCTCTTGGACCATCTCGGAGGCCCTCTTGTGGACCGTCTTGGGGCGTCTTGGGGTCCTCTCGGGGAGTTCCGATAGGGTCTCGGAGCGCTCTTCGGCTTTCCTGGAAGCGCGCCGAAGCCAGCTGGGGCTCGCGGGGGCCCGCAGGGGGCGCCTGAGGAACGTGTCCGACCCCGGCACTTCTCGCACGCGCGGGGCCCTGCAATGCAGTAGAGACAAGGACTGACCCGTGGACTACGTCCACTTGCGGGGTGAAGGGGTGCTGCCGCAAGGCGATCAGGATGAATGGCGTCACGTTCGCCTGCCACACATCGCTGAGCGAGGAGACGGAGGAGCGTCTGGACGCCTCACCTGTGGCTCTCAAGGGCTCCCTTGGGATCGGGACGGGATTTGTCGGTGCGTTGGGTCCGACCTTCTCGGGGCGTTGTGGTGCCGCCTGGGGGCCCTCCGAGGGGGCCCAAGATCACCACACGCCTTCAAGACAGCTCCATAGTGGCCGCCCGCCCAAAATCGGCGGGACCGATTCTGGGCCACCGCGCCGCCGACCCAGAATCCCGCCAGGCGCGCCCTGGGCAGCCGCGCGCGCTTCCTGGGTTGGCCGAGGCGATTCTGGGCCACCAGAAGAGCGAAACACTGCGTGGTCCCAAGAGGCCGCGGAGAGGGCTCCAGACCGACAAAAAGGGCGAGTGATTTGAGGGCCAAATCCAATATGGAGCGCCAAACAAGCATCAGAGGCCCATGGTGCGCTGGGAGCCGTTTTGGGACCGTCTGTAGCCGTCTTAGGTCGTCTCTGGCTGCTGTTGGTGCTGTCTTCGGTGCTTCATGGGCCGTGATCTTGAGGCCTCTGAGGGTCGTTTTGGAGCCTCTACGCGCTTCTTCTCGGCCTCCTGGAAGCCTCATGGGGCCCTCTCGGATGCCTCTTGGGCCGTGTGGAGGCGGTCCCGGACCGTCTGAGGGTTGCCTGGGGCCGCCTTGGGCGTCTCTGGAGCAGTCTGGGCACCGTCTGGGGGTCGTCTGAGGCCGTCCTGGGCCGCTCTTGAGGCTGTCTTGGGTGGCCCGTGGGCCGCCAGTGGCGCCTCAGGAGCCTAGGGCCATCTTGGGCCTCTGTATGTCCGTCCTGGACGCTATGAAGAGGGCAAGCCCGGGAACTGCAAGAATGCACCTTTTCCCAAAAAGCATTGGAGCGATTTTTCAGTGTTCGGGCTCTCTTGGGGCTCGTCGTGGAGCCCACTTGGAGCGTTTTGGAAGCCTCTTGGACCGTCTGGAGGCTATCTGAGGCGATCTCGGGGCCGTGTGGGGGTTGCCTGGGTCCGCATTGGACGTGTCTGCAGCAGTCTGGGAACCGTCTGGCGGTCGTCTTGAGCCGTCTTGGAGCCGTCTGGGGGCTCTCCAGGGCTCGCAGGGGCCGCCTGGGCGCCGACTACACTTTCCCAGTGGCCCGCCTTTCCCGCACGCGCGGGCCCCTGCATTGTAGTAGAGACTAGTGTGTACCTGTGGAGCAAATACGCATGCTCCCTTGCAGGGGAACGCGGCGAGCCATCTCTGCGCCATCTTGGGTTGTCTTGGGCGCCTCTTGGGCTGGGGGCCGCCGTGGGAGGACAGAGAACCACCCACAGATGGCTCCCGGGAGGCCTTCAGGGGCAGCCCCAGGGCGCCAGAAACTTGTGAGGAAACAAAGCCGCATTTGCTCACATGGTTCCGGCTTCCAGGCGCAGGGCTGGGAGGGCCCCGGGCCGCCCTCGAGGACGTGAAACCGCCTCCAGATGGCGCCCCCGGAGGCCTCCTGGCCTGGCCTTGGGCTGTCTTGGGGCTATCAGGGGCCGTCTGGGGCCGTCTACGGGCACGCTGGGGCCGCGTTGACACCCTCTTCGGAGGCCTCTTGGCCCATCCTGGGGCGATCTTGGGAGCTGTTGAGGCATCGTGGGCGCTGAGAGGACGTGGGACTGCCTCCAGATGGCGCCCCCGGCTCTCTGAGGCCGTCTGGGGCCGTCTAGGGGCACGCTGGAGCCGCGTTGACACCTCTTCGGTTGCCTCTTGGCCCGTCCTGGGGCCACCTTGGGAGCCGTTGGGCCGTCGTGGGCGCTGCAAGGGCCCCAAAAGTCGCGTTTGTTCAACATGTTAGACAACCCCACAGAACATAGGATATCTCTGCGCTGGAATGCCCTGCTGGGCGTACTCTTGGAGCGCTCTGGCAGCTTTTTTGGGAAAGCATTGCGGCCGTCTTCGGCAGTCTTGTCGGGGTTGGACAGACCCCCCTTTAGTAAAACGTGGTTTCGTGAAAACGACCTGAGGCCCAAACCTGGCGGGCGCAAGCCTGGAAAATAATGGCCACGGCGCCCTCTCGAGAACCGAAAACGGACAACTCACTAATCGACGTGTCACTGTTGGGGATTCTGTCCACCTGCGATCTTGGGCTCCCTGAGGCAGTCTGGACGCCATCCTGTGCCTCGGCTGTGTCGGCGGCATCTTCGGCGCATTTGGCGGCCTCTTGGACCCGCTTGGGCCGTGTGGGAGGCGCAGGCTCTCCCGGCGGGCCCTCCCCGCAGGCCTCCCTGGGCGCTGCCACCAGAGCAGTGCACCACGCGCTGCTCCTGCTGTTGTAGGACAGGAGTGGGAAGCCGTGGGTTGAATCCACAGCTTGCCGAACCTGGGGCTCGCAAAACGTATATTCGACCCACAGAACAGGGCGGCGAAGCCGAACGGCTCGTGGAGCTCGTGGAGAGGGAGGGGGGGGGAAGGCAAGAGCGCAGGTGAGGGCCCTGGGAGCGCATGAGCGTGCCGCGGCAGCGACGCCGCTGTAGCTGATGACGCTGGGCTCCAGCTTCGCCTCCCGCATCTCGCTGAGCAGCGCTAGGGCCCGCTGCCATTGCTCGCCATTCTCGCACGCGCTGATCGCAGCGCTGTAGCTGACTGGGGCTCATCCGTGGACTCCGTCCACGACGTCTCCTCTGGAAATGGTAGGGCGGAACTTTTGCCGAACATCTATAAGCACGGCGGAGGCCGGGGCGGCGGCAGCGACACCACGCCTTCGCGTCCGAGCTCTAGCAGCGCTCCAGCAGCTTGGCCGTCGTGGGGGCGCCGCCGTCGCCGCTATCGTCGGCGCCGCTGTCGTCGCCGCCGCGAGGCCGCCGTCGTACCCGTCGTAGTCGGCGTCGTTGTCGTGGTGGTGGTGGTGGTCTCCTTCGGTTGTGGGCACCAGAAGGAGGCTGGCGACGTCGGTAGGACTGACCCGTGGACTCCGTCCACGACATCTGCACGAACTGGCATTTGATTGTGGGGCCCTAAAACAAGGCTAGGATCGGGATAAATCGCTTCAGAGCGTTCCGGAGCGCTCTCAGAGCGTTCCGGAACGCTCTGGAGCGGCCGCGGTGCCCAATACATCCTCCAAACCCGCCGATTCTCAAAGATTTCGAGTTATCCCGATCCGATTTTGTCCCGATCTTCGCGTCGTTTTAGGCCCGACCTCGCATTCCGCGCATGCTACTGCGTGCTGCTGCTTGCTGCTGCTTTGGTGTACCCTTGGTCGTGCTTGAGGCCGCTGCTGCGTATTCTTGCTGCTTGTGGCTGTCGGTTGTTGCTGATGGCCAGTTCTGCTTGGTGCGTGCTTCTACCCGCTGCCTGCCGCTGCTTGCTGGTGCTGTGTGCCGCCGATGCTGCTGCTGTCTGCTTCGTGCCCACGGAAGAGATCGATGCTGCCCCAGGGCACTCGAAATGTCGCACGGTGGGCTGTGCATGGCGGCTCCTAACCGTGGACGCGCACGGAGCCACGTCCTTTTTTGGGGCGCCGTCTCCGCGCCCCTCTGGCATCAGACTGTGCTGGGGACTGCGCTCCCTGGAGGCCTTTGGTGTATCTCGCCTAACTTGGGCGGCAGCGGCGATGGGCGCCCTGGAGCTGGGAGGCAATGGTGAGGGGAAGTAGCGCCCATGTTGCTGTTCATTATTCGGCACTCTTTCGCTCGCACCCGCATCCACGGAGGATGGCAACGCTCCCATGCGGCCACCTATGGTGGGCGCTTCCTTCTCCTTGGGAATCGTTTGGGGGCCTCTCGGGGTTTCTTTTCGGCCTTTTTGGGGCCCACTTGGGCCGTCTTGCGGCCTTCTGGGGGCCTCTTGGGGCCCTCTTGGGCTGTCTTAGGTGCCCCTTGGGCCGTCTTGGGGCCGTCTTGGGGCCGTCTTGGGGCCGTCTTGGACGCCTCTGGGGCCGGCTTGGGGCCGTCATTGGCCTTTCGTGGGTCTGCCTTGGGTGGCTCTCGGGCCGTCGTGTGCGCCTCGGGAGCGGTCCTGGGGCCGTCTCTTGGGCCGTCTTGGGGCGCGCATGGCGCGCTCCTGAGGCGTCCTGGGGCGCTTTTGGGGGCGTGGGCTGTCCTGTTTGGACGGTTCGACAACAAAGAGCACGGGGATCGCGAAGATGTGCGCTCTCCCTCGGGACTGGGACGGTTGTTGCTCGTGCGGGCTCTCTCGGGACTCCTCTTGGAGCCCGCTTCGAGCGTTTCGGGAGACTCTTGGGCCGTCTGGGGGCCATCTTGGGCGTCTGCGAGCGATCTTGGACCGTCCAGGGGGCCCTCAATTGGTCCGCTCTTGGGGGCCCCCTCCTCCTCCTCCTCCTTCCTCCTCCTCCTCCTCCTCCTCCTCCTCCTCCTCCTCCTCCTCCTCCTCCTCCTCCTCCTCCTCCTCCTCCTCCTCCTCCTCCTCCTCCTCCTCCTCCTCCTCCTCCTCCTCGTCTCGGAGCGCTCTTGGGCCTCCTGGAAGCGCGCCGGGGCCTGCGGGGGCTCGAGGGCTCCCGCAGGGGCCGCCCCGGGGCGCCGGAACCCCGCGAACCCCGGCCCCCGCCCGGCTCGCACGCGCGTGCGCCTGCAGTGTCGTGGAGATGACGTCGGGCTCCCGCTGCGCCTCCCACATCTCGCGCAGCAGCGCCAGGGCCCGCTGCCACTGCTTGCCCTTCTCGCACGCGCTGATCCCAGCGTTGTAGCTGACTAGGGCTGACCCGTGGACTCCGTCCACGACATCTTTCTGGAATGGTTCTGGGAGGAACGGCGCAGATTGTACCGAAAATCTACAAACACGGCGGCGGCTCGGGCGGCGGCAGCGAGACCGCGCCTTCGTGTCCGAGCTCTTGCAGCGCTGCAGCAGCTTGGCCCAGCGCACTGCTCGTTCACCCCCCTCCTATTGAGGACAGTTTCGAAGTCTCTCGGGGATGTGCGTCGAAGTCGAAGCCCATCTGAGGCGTCTCAGGAGCGCTCGGGGAAGGGCTCGGGAGGCCATCGGGGAAAGCCACCGAAAGCGCCGGGGAGGCTCGCAAGGATCTACAGGGAGGGCCCAAGAGAGCTTCAAGAAAATTTGAAATCCAGTGAACTCTTAAGAGAAACCGCTGTTGGGTCGGCCATCACCTCCGGGCGCGCCTTGATGGTGCGATCCAGTCGCATCACCGCCAACGGGAGGGTTTGTTCGCCATGTCCTATTATGTTCGCCCAGAGGGTCTGTGGAGGCCTTCGGGCGAACAGAACGGGACAGGGCAAGGAATGGGGAAGACATGTCCGAATCTCCTGGGCCCCCCAGATGCTCGTCCGAAGAATGCGGAGAGGTCCCAGGGTCATATCAATTGGCTGCTGTCCCAGGGGTCCGGTCTGCTTGGCCCGAAGAGTTTGCCAAGGCCCCTGGGGGAACAGAATGGCACAACATATCGGGCAAAGGGGGGCGGTAGCTGGCCTGTCAGACCCGGCGTTCGTCTTCTGCCCAAGCGGCGCGGGGCCCACGGGCCCCAGGGTTGGCGTCCCGCTGGGATTCCTCTTGTTCGCCCACAGGGTTGGAGGAGGCCTCCAGGCGAACAGAATGGGGCAGGACAATGAATGTGGGAGACTTGTCGCAAGCTCCCAGCCCCCCCAAGTGTGCGCCCGAAGGGTGTGGGGCCGCGTTGGCTCCCTCAAAGGGCCGTCTTGGAGCCGTCTAGGCCCGTCTTGAGGGCGCCGTTTGCCCTGATGGGGCCGTCTTGGTTCGTCGTGGGCCCCTCATGGGCGCGTCCGTAGGCCGTCCTGGGCCCATCGGGGTCCTCGTGGGGCTGTCTTGGAGCCGTCTGGGACCGTGAGGAGGCCGCCTTGGAGTCGTCTTGGGCCCCTCCTGTGCGCCTCCTTGGGCCGTCCTGGGCCCAGCAGGGGCCGTGTTGGCACCCTCTTGGGGCTGTCTTGGAGCCGTCTTGAGCCGTCGCAGCGCGCCTTGGGTTGTGCTGGGTCCGTCTTGGCCCGTCTTGGGGACTTCCTGGGCGGTTCCTCGGACCCTCCTGGGACTTTCTGGGGCCTCTTGGTGCATCGGACCGCCGAAACGGCGGGAAACGCAAAGGGGGTAACAGTAAACAATGGAAAATTAACGATTTTTGCCAGCTGGGACTCTCTTGGCCTCTTGGGGGCCTGTTTGGGCATCCTGGCGCCCTCTTGGGGCGGAAGGCTCGGATTTTCGGTCCGTGGTCCCCCTCTTGGCCCCCTCTTGGGCCTGTCTTCGGGCCCTCGTGGGCCGTCTTGAGCGTCTCTTGGGTCGTCTTGGGGCCCTCTTGGGCTGTCTTGGGGCGCTCTTGGAAACCTCTTGGGCCGTTCTGGGGCGCTCTTGGAGGCCTCTTGGGCCGTCTTCGAGCGTCGGAAAGCGGAAAAGGCGAGAAGGCCAAAATCCTTCCAAAACCGTCGTAAAGCGGACGATTTTGAGGCCCAAAACCGTCCAAAACCTCCTGAGGCGGTCCCCTCGTCCGCCCCCCTCGCTTCGAAGCAGTTTTTAAGCCCCGTGGCACCTCTTGGGGATCTCTTTTGGGCTCCTGGGGGCCTCTTGGGCCTCCACTGGATTCGCTGCCCTCGGTCGGCAATCGTCGATCCTACGACGACTCTCCCCAACGGAGAAACATCGAAGGCCCTCGGAGCGTCCAACATTGTTCTTTTATGCCTTCGATATGCCGGTCGCCTCTCGTCCGCTCCCCCCCTCCTGGAAGCAATTCTGAGGCCACTTAGGGCTTCGTGGGGGCCGTTTGGGGATCTCTTGGGGCGTTTTTGCCTGCGATATGCCTGTCGCCTCTCGTCCGCTCCCCCGCTCCTGGAGGGAATTCTGAATGCACTGAAGGCTTCGTGGGGGCCGTTTCGGAGCCTCTTCGGCCTAATTGTTGGGCCTCCCGGGGGGGCTCTTAGGGCCCGTCTTGGGTGCCTCTTGGGCCGTCTTGGGGCCGTCTGAGACCCGCCTCGGCGCCTCTTGGGCTGTCGTGGGCCGTCTTGGGCCGCTCCTGGAGTCGTCTTGGGTGCCTCCTGGGCCGTCTTGGGCGCCTCCTGGGCCGTCCTGGGGCCGTCCTGGGGCGCCTTGGGACCGTCTGGGGGCCCTCCTGGCCCGTCTTGGGGCTCTCTTGGGGTCCCCTTCGGCCGTCTTGGAGCGGTCGGGGGGGCTTCTTGGGCCGTCTTGGAGCGTCGGGAAGCCGACGAGGCGAGGAGGCCGAAAACATCGAAAAACACAATAGAAATCGACGATTTCTGTCGCTCGGGGCCCTCTTGGGAGGCATCTTGGGAGGCCTCTTCGGGCGTCTTGGACGCCTCTTGGGCCACCTGGGGCGAATCTCGGGCGTCTTGGGCCCATCATTAAGCGTGCCGGGGCTCTCCGGGGCCGTCTTGGGGGCTTCTGGGGGCCCTCCCGACATGTCCTGGGGCCTGCCTGGGCGGCCCGGGGCGGCCTGGGGCCAGCCCGGGGCGGTTTCGGTGCATTGGGGCCTGCGCCCTTCTGGCACGCACTGGGTCCTGCAATGTAGTAGAGACTATATAATGTGAACGCGTGGATTGAATCCACGGCGTGCTGAGCCTGGGACTCGCACACCGTAGGTGACCAGCTCGTCGAAGTTGAACAGCTCGGGCGAACCCTGGGCCTGGGGCGGCAGGGGCGACCTTCGGAGGCACATGTGACGGTCACGTTTGAGGGCAATCGTTGAGGGCTGTGTGTGGGGGCCACGTTTGGGGGCGCCTGGGGGCTACGCGTGGGGGGACGTTCGGAGGCCACGCTTACCGGGGTAGGAGCGACCTTTGGACGCTTTGTGTGGGGGCCGCCTTTGGGGGTTCCGTTTGGAGGCCACGCGTGGGGCCGACGTTTGAGGGGCCACGTCTGGGGGCCACCCCGGAAAGCAGTCGCGGAGCTCTGTGGGCACTGACCTGGAAGCGTGAAAAGAAATTGTTTTTTGCCAATCGCGCTGGGCCGAGGCACGATTAGAAAAAAAACACACATGGTTTTCAGGCACAGTCAAAGTGAGGGGGGCACGTTTGCGTGCCTCGGTTGGGGGCCCCTCAGGGAGGTCTTGGGGCCATTCCATCTTGGAGGTCTCGGGCCGTCTCGGAGGTCGCTTGGGGCCCTCTTGGGCGGCATCTTGGGTCCTTCTTGGGGCGTCTTGGGGCAATCTTGGGGGTCTCGGGCCGTTTCGGAGGTCGCTTTGGGCCTGGTCGGCCGGGGTTTGGGGCCCTGTTGGGGCTGACTTGGGAGTCACTTGAAGCTCTCTTGGGCTGTCTTGGGGCCCTCTACGAGCCTTCTTGGGCCGTCTGGGGGCCCTCCTGGGGCCCTCTAGAAGCCTTTTGGGCCGTCAGGGGGCTCTGGTCGGGTCGGCTTCGGCTCTCGTGGGCGTCTGTGAGGCTGTCTTGGGGCGATCTGGGGGTCCTGGAGCCGTCGGCGAGCGCTCCAGGGGCCTCCTGAGGCCGTCGAGGAGCGCCCTAGTGGCTCTCCGGGCGGCCCGCGGGCTCTCTGGGCGACCCGGGGCGCTGCCGCAGATTTTTCTCCTCGCGCGCGCCGCGACCAAAATACTAGTGCAATCTAGTGTGCTTACGTGGAGCAAATCCGCAGGCTCCCTGGCAGGGGAACGCGGCGAGCCATCTCTGCGCCATCTTGGGTTGTCTTGGGCGCCTCTTGCGCTGGAGGCCGCCGCTAGGGGACCGAGAACCACCCCCAGATGGCACCCGGGAGGCCTTCAGGGGCAGCCCCAGGGCGCCAGAAAACTGTTAGGAAACAAAGCCGCATTTGCTCACATGGTTCTGGCTTCCAGGCGCAGGGCTGGGAGGGCTCCGGGCCGCCCTCGAGGACGTGAAACCGCCTCCAGATGGCGCCCCCGGAGGCCTCCTGGCCTGGCCTTGGGCTGTCTTGGGGCTATCACGGGCCGTCTGGGGCCGTCTACGGGCACGCTGGGGTTGCGTTGACACCCTCTTCGGAGGCCTCTTGGCCCATCCTGGGGCGATCTTGGGAGCTGTTGAGGCATCGTGGGCGCTGCAAGGGCAGAAGAATTCCTTTTTTCAACATTTTAGAAATACCAACAGACAATACTATATCTTTGCGCCGGAAGGCCCTGCTGGGCGTACTCTTGGGACGCTCCAGAGCCTTTTGGAAAGCATTGCGGCCGTCTGGAGGCCGTCTTGGGCTGTTTTGTCGGGGTTGGACAGACCCCCCTTTAGTAAAACGTGGTTTAGGGAAAACGACCTGAGGCCCAAACCTGGCGGGCGCAAGCCTGGAAAATAACGGCCACGGCGCCCTCTCGAGAACCGAAAACGGACAACTCACTTATCGACGTGTCACTGTTGGGGGTTTTGTCCACCTCCGATCTTGGGCTCTCTGAGGCAGTCTGGACGCCATCTTGTGCCTCGGCTGTGTCGGAGGCATCTTCGGCGAGCTTGGCGGCCTCTTGGGCTCGCTTGGGCCGTCTGCGAGGCGCAGACTCTCTCTGCGGGCCCTCCCCGCAGGCCTCCCTGGACGCTGCCAACAGAGCAGTGCACCACACGCTGCTCCTGCGATTGCAGGACAGGAGTGGGAAGCCGCTGGTTGGACCTACAGTTTGCGGAAACTGGGCTCGCAAGACGTAGATAGGATCCACAGAAAAAAAAAGCGGCGAAGCCGAACGGCTCGTGGAGCTCGTGGAGAGGGAGGAGGGGGGGGAGGGCAAACGTGCAGGTGAGTGACCTGGGAGCGCCTGAGCGTGCCGCGGCATCGACTCCGTGGAGGAGGGAATACGGTGAGTTCCGACGAGCCGCGCTGTTGTCCTTGACGCCGCGTGGACTTGTCAACCCTGCACGATCGGCAGATATGAAATCGCGCGATCGTCCACGTCGGCCGATTCCGGACCAGTATCGGCATTGAGCCAAGGATGCGGGCCCTGAGGCCGCCACCGCGTCGACGCGAATCTGCACACCCCTCTCCGTTGCTCGGTGAAGAGGGGCAAGAACCTCGCTCTCGGGTGGCGCTGGACTGGGCGGGCAGCGGAGAGGATGAACGGCCAGAGGAGGAAGGAGAAGAGAGCGAGCGCCCTGGGAGGCGCGGAGATGCGCTCCTTCTGCCTCGGACGCGGCCACAACGATCCCATGTGGGACGGGCGATCCCCGACGACCTCCCGGCTCTGGAGGCCCGCCTCCGGCTGCGAGGCGAGGAGGCCGCCACGGGAGAGCGCTGGTCCGCTGGGGGTGGGTGGGGCCGTTCCTGAGCCACGTCCCGTCGGGCTGTGAGCGGGGCGCTCCAGCCCTCCACTATGTCCAGGCACCAGTACTGCGCCATGACGTTCTTGCTGGGGCGCACGCTCTGCACGGGACCCTGCATCACCTCCCTGAAACTTGTCTGAGGCCTCAGGGGCCACTCTTCGGATATGTTGGGTGTTTCTTGGGCCGTGTCGGGAGCATCTTGGGTCCTTCTGCGAGGCTACCTGAGGTCTTTGGGAGGGCTCTTGCGGTATTTCGGGGGCATCTGGGGCCGTTCCCAGGCTGTCCCTCAGAGCACCTTTCGGAAGACAGCCAGGAAGCTTATTTTGGAATCGCCTTGGAGCCTTCCTGGGGCGTCCTTGGGGCTCTCCGAAGCTCTGTGGGGACTCTATTGGGGCCGTCGTGGCGGGCACATTGGGCTCTTTGGGCCCCTTTTTGGGCCGTTCTTCGGCCATCTTGAAGCCCTTGTGGGCAGTCTGGCGGCTTCTCTCGGGAGCCTGATGGGCAATGATGGGGCGATCTAGGAGGCGCTGGGAGAGGTCTGGGGCCGCTCTTGGGGCAAAATAAAGAGACCTACAAATCCAGAAACTTGGGCTTCCTGGGGGCATCCCCTGTCCGAACGACGGCAGCACAATCTCGCGCGCACGGATTCGAACATAGTAGTTTGTAGTATGGATGACGTTGGGCTCCAACTTCGCCTCCCGCATCTTGCTCAGCAGCGCCAGCGCCCGCTGCCACTGCTCGCCCGTCTCGCACGCGCTGATCCCAGCGCTGTAGCTGATGGCGTCGGGCTCCAGCTTCGCCTCCCGCATCTCGCTCAGTAGCGCCAGCGCCGGCTGCCACTGTTCGCCTTTCCCGCACGCGCTAATCCCAGCATTGTAGCTGACTAAGGCTGACCCGCGGCCTTCCGGAGGTGGCCGCTGGAGGGGGAGGTGGGCGAGGGATGCAGGCAAGCAGGCCTGAAGGTAGGACGCGGTGGTGGAGCCGGTGTCAGTGGAAACACACCCACGTAGGCATGACATGGTGTGGACAGGAGCTGTTTCTCACGCATCCGTCTGTTTTCATCATAGCTCCTGCGGGGAGAGTAGCCGTGATAATCCTACCCGCAATTCGCCGGGGCCGAATGATCATTTCATCTGGTGGTGTGGTGGCAGTGGGGCCGGTGGGCGCGGCCTTAGAGGCCCGCAAGAGGGCGGCGAGATGCCTCCCGGACGGGCCGAGAGGCTTCCCAGACGGCCCCAGAGGGCCCCACGAACTCCCCAAGACTGGCCCCAGTGCGAGGACACGACTCGCCCTTTCGAGCGCACCGCCCCAAGACGTCCCCCAAAGGCGTAGAGATGGCTCCCAGAGGGTTCAAGAAGCCCCCAAGACGACGCTGGAAGTTCGACGCTCCCCAAGAGAGAGGGATCCAAGGCCTCTCAGGGACCGTTTGGGGGTCTCTCTTCGTCCTCCTGGGGGTCTCTCGGGGCCCTCTTGGGCCGTCTTGAGTGTCTCTTAGGCCCGATGTGGGGCAAACTCGGGCGCCTCTCGAACTTGGGCCGATATTGGGCGCTCTTGGGTATGTCTTGGATTGTTTCTTGGGCATGGAGCTGTCCCGGGGCCGTCTCGGGGGGCGCCTGGGAGCGTCTTGGGGCGATATGGGGGCCTGTGCAGCCGTCTTGGAGACTGTGCAGACAGAACGGCTTGGAGGCGGGGCGGTGGGGGCGTGCACAGCCATCTTGGAGACGGAGCGGTGGGGCCGTCTTGGGCCTTTCTGAACTGCTCTTGGGGCTGTCTTGGGTGCGTCTTGGGCCGTCTCGGGCGCCTCTGGAGCCGTCCCGGGGCCGTGTGGGGCCGTTTGGGTGGCCTGTATAGCCGTCTTGGACGCTGCGAGGACGAACAACAAAAAATAGAATGAACATGTGCGTTTCCCGTGGGGAATAAGACGATTTTGGCCTCTTGGGGCTTTCCTGGAGGCCCTCTTGAGTCATCTTGGGGGCCTCCTTGCTTGCCTTGGGGGCCCCTGGGGCTGTCTTGGGGCTCTGAGGCAGTATTGGCGCTCCCTGGAACCTCTCGGCGCCGTAGCGTGGTTCATCAATGACTGCTCTTTGGGCCGTCTTGAGTGCGTCTTGGGCCGTCTCGGGCGCCTCTGGAGCCGTCCTCGGGCCGTGTGGGGGCGCTCCTGGGGCCTCTGGGCGCGTCTTGGGGCGAGCTGGGGGGCCTGTATAGCCGTCTTGGCCACTGCGAAGACGACAATACTTTACATCGGGAAACCCTGCGTTTTCCGTAATGATTGGGGCGGTTTTGCCTCTGGGGCCTGTCCTGGGGGGTCCTCCTGGGCCGTCTTGGGGGCGTCCTGGCCTTTCCTTGAAGGCCTGGGGGACTGTCCTGAGGCTCGCCTGGGTTCCTCTTGGGCCGACCTGGCGCTCTCGTGAGCGTCCCTGAGCTGTCTTGAGGCCGTCTTGGGGCATCTTGGGACCCTCCAGAGCCGTCTCGGAGCGTCCTGGGGGCTCTCAGGGCGGCTCGGAGGGCCACTCGGGACAGAGGACCTTTTCGCACGCGAGGACCCCTGCATTGTAGAAGAGTTGACGTTGGGCTGCAGCTTCGCCTCCCGCATCTCGCTCAGCAGCGCCAGCGCCCGCTGCCACTGCTCGCCCTTCCCGCACGCGCTGATCCCAGCACTGTAGCTGATTGTAGTATAGACTAGGGTGGACCCGTGGACTCCGTCTACGTTATCATGTGGTAGCAGGGGGGCGCCCCGGCGCCGCCCCGGGCTCGTGCGAGAACTCCGACACGGTGTCGGGCGCGGGCGGGCCCGCGCACAGCGGCGGGCAGCACCCCGCGGCGAAGCGTCCGCCGGCTTGGCACCACGCGCCCGTAATGGCGCGCCAGCGGGAGACGCCTCTTCGCGTCGTGAAAGAGTCGTGGCGGAACATGAGAGGCCGCCCACATGGGGTCCGAGTAGATGGGGCTGAATGAGCGCGCTACAGCGGCGACGCAGTGGCGGCGTCGGCGGTGCTTCGCCGACGTCTGCGTGAGAAAATGGAGCTCAGAATCCAGCCGCATCGACGATGCAGCGGCGATACGGCACAATCCTCCGACCACATCTAATTACCATGACCTCATCTGGGAGGCCAGAGAACACGTTTGGTAATGTTGAGCTCCTGGAGGCCCTCGCAAAGCCCGTGGACACCGTGAGCAAAGCAGCTCAAGAAGAGCAAAAGGTCCGCGGGAAGGGGTCCAGCGGCGTCTTGTGGGCGTTTGGGGGCTACGGAAGGTTCTGTTCGGGCGTCTTGGGTGTCTCTGGGCCGTGGTGGGGCCGTCGGAGGCCGGCGTAGGCGCCTCTTGGGCCGTCGTGGGCCGTCTTGGGCCGCTCCTGGGGCCGTCTTGGGTGCCACTTTGGCCGTCTTGCGCGCCTCCTGGGCCGTCGCGGGGCCGTCCTGGACCGTGGAGCCGTCTCGGGGCACTCTTGGAGCGTCGTGGCGCTCTCGTGGAGGCCTCGTGGGCCGTGTTGGAACGACCTCGCAGGGTCCTGGAACCGGGTTGGGCCTTCTAGGGAGCAGATGGCAAGAGCCTGGGAATCCTTCGCGAAGCAATGGGGAATCCATGCACTGGCCGCCTCGGGCCTCGACGGGGAGTCTCCTGGGCCGTCCTGGGAGGCTTCTCGCCCGACGTCGGGCACTCTTGGGCCGCCCAGGGGCTCGCTGGGAGTCCGCTCGGGCCGTCGGGGCGTTCTCTCTTTCTCTCTCTCTCTCTCTCTCTCTCTCTCTCTCTCTCTCTCTCTCTCTCTCTCTCGCACGCCAGAAGGGCGACCACGGTCGATCAGAGCCGACCGCGGGCGCCCGCACGTTCCAGCGCGGCCCGCCGCCCTCCCAGCGGCTGGCCAAGCATCCGACGGCTAGCTCGCAAGCTCAACCGCCAGGCACTCATCGCTTCTGGCGAGTAGCCGACGGAGCCTGCCAGGCCCACGCGGCGACGAGGACCCAAGACAGGGCACCGACAGGGGCGAGCGCCATCCGAGACCCGCACGGGTCGCAGAAGCCACACGCCCCACCCCCGCGGGGACGGCCCGACCCACCCAAGAGCCCAGACCAGGAGGGGACGGGGACGGCCCCCCAAGGCCGCCCACCTCCCCGCACCAAGGAAACCCAGAGGTTTCCGAGGCGCGCCGCCCACGGCCCAGAACCGACCAGCAATTCGAGCCGAGCCCAGCGGCCGCGCGCGCGCCCAGGCCAAGGCGCCCGCACAGTGCGCACACCCAGTCAGTTACAAAATGTCCAGAAGAGTGTGGAAGCCAGCAGCACCCGCAGCGCCTTCACAGCCGCCTCCGCTGCTTTCGCTTCGCCTTGGCCGTTTCTGACCTGTTCATGGCGTCAATCGCCCCCCAAAGGTCCTCGTCAGCAGTCGGGACGTCACGCCCGCCCTCCGCCAAGGCCGCCCTGGCGATGGCGAACCACTCGTCCGCAGTGCCGACTTCCTTCAGGAAGAAAGGCGGAACGGAGGCCACAGCCCGCCGCCGTGCCGCCGCGCGGCTCCGCGACTCCTTCTGGACGGACGCCTGGGCGTGGATCCACCCGCCGTCCCGAATGCCATCCGCCTCCGAAGGCGCTCGCGCCGCGCCCGCCTGCTCGACGACTGGCGACGGGAAGTCGCACGAGTCGACCGCGAGGTCAGCCCAGCTCGCGCCAGGCGCGGCCTCCGCGTCCGCCTCGGTGCCGCCGCCGCCGTGGGAGTCCATCACGATCTCCTCCGCCTCGTGGAAGATGTCGTCGTCCTGGTCCTCCGAGTGAGTCGCCAGCACGTCGGCCACCAGCGCTGGAGTTGCCGCCGCCAGACCAGCCGCCGATGCCCCATCCGCCGTGGCCGCCGACGGACCCCCCGATGCCCCAGCCGCCTCCGTACCCCCCACGGCCGCCGTGTAGGCATCGGGGTCCTGATCGCCGAGGCCCTCGAGCTCCGGCAATTCGAAGCCCTCCTGGCCCTCCGCATCCGCGATGTCGAAGATCTCAGCCTCGTTTGCGCTGCCGAAGTCGCGCGCGCCCTCCAGCCCCGTCGCCTCCTCGAGGTCGGTGGAACCCAGGTCGCAAGACCCCGCGGTGCCCTCGAAGCCGTGCTTCTGCTCCGACATGCTGCTCTCCTCGATGCCGTGCGCCGCCTCAGAGCCCTCCGCGGGGGAGTCCGCGTCGAGGCCCTCCATGGCGCACGACTGCTGGCAGGAGCAGGCTTCGCCGCGACCGCCGAGCCAGCGGCGAGCCTCCTGCAGTGCATGCTCACCCTCCCCTGGGTGCCTCAGGAGCCTGCTGGCGGCGTCCAGCTCGCGCCAGGCTCGCTCGAGGTGGGTGGGGGGCCGCTGCCTGGCGTCGCGGAGCATGGCCAAGCCCTTGGCGAGGGTGGCCTCGCCAGTGAGGGCGACCAGCTCCGCGGCGATCCCAAGCAGCCGTTGAGCGCGGCCGCTCAGCCCATGCCCCGCCGATTCGTCACCCTCCCGCGCGCGCACGGCCTTGGCCACCTGCGGCGGGCTGCTCGGCGCCCCCGCCTGCAGCAGCAGCAGCAAGGCGGCCGCCGCCTCGATCGTGGGCACTGTGACCGTCCCCACACCGTGCCGCACGACCAGACCGCCTTTCCCACTGCGCACCATGACGGCGCGAGTGCCGGCGGGCAGCCACGCGCGCGCCGAGGGCCGCGCGAGCCAAGACGCCCCCGCCAAGGCGCGCTCCCGTCGGGTCCAGCCGAGCCCCAGCCGAACCCTTGAGCCCAAATGGCTACGGACGCGCTCTCTCTCTCTCTCTCTCTCTCTCTCTCCCTGAGCCGCCTTGGGGCCGTCTTGGGGCCGCCGAGACTCCGTGGGGGGGGGGCCTTCCGAGGGCCGTGGTCACTTTTTGTTACGGCTCTCCTTGGAACCTGATTGGGGGCCTCTCGGGGCTTCACTTTTCGGCCTCCTGGGGGGCCTCTCGGGGCCCTCTTGGGCTGCCTTGGGCCGTCTTGGGTGCCTCTCGGGGCCCTCCTGGGCGGTCTTGGGCGCCTCGTGGGGTCGTCGCGGGCCGTCTTGGGCGCCTGTGGGGCCGCCTGGGGACGGTTTGGAAGCCCTCGTGGGCTATCTTTGGCTGCTCTTGGGGTTGCCTTGATTGCTTCTTGGGCTGTCCAGGGAGCCTCATGGAGGCTTCCTGAGGCGCCTTGAGGCGATGTTGGGGGCCTGTATTGTTGTCGTGGACGCTTGGAAAAGGAACAGCACAGAGATTGCGAAGATGTACGTCTCCCGTAGGTTTTGTGAAGATTGTTGCGTGTCCGGCCTCTCTCGGGCGTTTCTGGGAGCCCACTTGGAGCGTTGTGGAGCCCTCATGGGTGCCTCTTGCCTCTTGGGGCAGTCTTGGGCGCCTGTGGGGCCGTCTGAGGAACGTTCGGAGGCGCACTTGGGCCATCTGTGGCCGCTCTTGAGGCTGCGTGGACTGCTTCTTTGGCTGTAATGAGCGCCGCAGGAGCCGTCCTGGGGCCGTCGGGGGCCGTCTGAGTAGCCTCATGGAGGCCTCCTGAGACGTCGTGGGGCGATTTGGGGGGCCTGTATTGTCGTCTTGGACTCTTTGGAAACGGAAAGCGCGAGAATTGCGAAAATGAGCGTTTTCCTGTAGGGTTTGGAACATATTTCTGCTTGCGCGGGCTCTCTCGGGCGTCTTCTCGGAGCCCAGTTGGAGCGTTTGGGGGCCCTCGTGGGTGCCTCTTAGGGCCGTCTTGGGCGCCTGTGGGGCCGTTTTTGGACCGTCTGGAGGCCCTCTTGGGCCATCTGTGGCCGCTCTTGGGGCTGTCTTGACTGCTTCTTGGGATGTGATGGGTGCCACAGGAGCCGTTCTGGGGCCGTCGGGGGCTGTCTTGGGAGCCTCATGGGGGCCTCCTGAGACGTCTTGGGCCGATCTTGGGTGCCCGCATTGTCGTCGTGAACGCTTTGAAAACGAAAAGGACGGGAGTTGCGAACATGTGCGTTCCCCATCGGTTTTGTAACGATTTTTGCAAGTGCGGTTTCTCTCGGGCGTCTTTGGGGAGCCCACTTGGAGCGTTGTGGGGCCCTCGTGGGTGCTTTTTGGGGGCCGCCTGGGAGGCTGTCTGGAGGCTGTCTGGAGCGTCTTCGAGCGCTCGTGGACCGTCTCGCAGACCCTCGGCCCGTCTCGTCTCGTGGTCGTCTGGGGCCTGCTGGGGCCGCCCAGTGCTCCCCAGGGGACGGCCTGGCAGGGCGCGCGGGGCCGAGTTGGGATATAGCTCGTCATTGCCACCATCCTGGCACGCAGGGGCTCTGGCAGTGGACAAACCTCCCTTTAAAAAAACCTCCCCTTAGTGAAAACGGCCTGGGACCGACACCGACGGACCTGGACCCGAAACAATGACGGCCGCGACGCCCTCTCGCGAAGCGAAAACGGCAAATTCCTAAATCGACGTGTCAGGGTAGGAGGTCTGTCCACCCCCGACACGGGCTCCGGCAGTGTAGGAGAGGTGACGTCGGGCTCCAGCTTCGCCTCCCGCATCTCGCTCAGCAGCTCTAGGGCCCGCTGCCATTGCTCGCCCCTCTCGCACGCGCTGATCCCGGCGTTGTAGCTGACTAGGGCTGACCCGTGGACTCCGTCCACGACATCTTTCTGAAATTGTTCTCGGAGGAACGGCGCAGATTGTACCGAAAATCTACAGACACGGCGGCGGCTCGGGCGGCGGCAGCGAGACCGCGCCTTCGTGTCCGAGCTCTTGCAGCGCTCCAGCAGCTGGGCCCAGCGCACTGCTCGTTCACCCCCCTCCTATTGAGAGCAGTTTCGAAGTCTCTCGGGGATGTGCGTCGAAGTCGAAGCCCATCTGAGGCGTCTCAGGAGCGCCCGGGGGAGGGCTCGGGAGGCCATCGGGGAGGCCACCAAAAGCGCCGGGGAGGCTCGCAAGGATCTACAGGGAGGGCCCAAGAGAGCTTCAAGAAAATTTGAAATTCTGTAAAATCTTTAAATAAACCGCTGTAGGTCGGCCATCACCTCCGGGCACGCCTTGATGGTGCGATCCAGTCGCATCACCGCCAACGGGAGGGTTTGTTCGCCATGTCCCATTCTGTTCGCCCAGAGGGTCTGTGGAGGCCTTCGGGCGAACAGAACGGGACAGGGCAAGGAATGGGAAAGACTTGTCCGAATCTCCTGGGCCCCCCAGGTGCTCGTCCGAAGAATGCGGAGAGGTCCCTGGGTCATATCAATTGGCTGCTGTCCCAGGGGTGCAGTCTGGTTGGCCCGACGAGTTTGCCAAGGCCCCTGGGGGAACAGAATGGCACAGCATATCGGGCAAAGGGGGGCGGTAGCTGGCCTGTCAGACCCGGCGTTCGTCTTCTGCCCAAGCGGTGCGGGGCCCACGGGCCCCAGGGTTGGCGGCCCGCTGGGTTTCCTCTTGTTCGCCCACAGGGTTGGAGGAGGCCTCCAGGCGAACAGAATGGGGCAGGACAATGAATGTGGGAGACTTGTCGCAAGCTCCCAGCCCCCCCAAGTGTTCGCCCGAAGGGTGTGGGGCCGCGTTGGCTCCCTCAAAGGGCCGTCTTGAAGCCGTCTGGGCCCGTCTTGAGGGCGCCGTTTGCCGTGATGGGGCCGTCTTGTTTCGTCGTGGGCCCCTCATGGGCGACTCCGTAGGCCGTCCTGGGCCCATCGGGGTCCTTGTTGGCACTGTCGTGGGGCTGTCTTGGAGCCGTCTGGGACCGTGAGGGGGCCGCCTTGGAGTCGTCTTGGGCTCCTCCTGTGCGCCTCCTTGGGCCGTCCTGGGCCCAGCAGGGGCCGTGTTGGCACCCTCTTGGGGCTCTCTTGGAGCCGTCTTGAGCCGTCGCAGCGCGCCTTGGGTTGTGCTGGGTCCGTCTTGGCCCGTCTTGGGGCCTTCCTGGGCGTTTCCTCAGACCCTCCTGGGACTTTCTGGGGCCTCTTGGTGCATCGGACCGCCGAAATGGCGGGAAACGCAAAGGGTGTAACAGTAAACAATGTAATATTTTCGATGTTTGCCAACTGGGGCTCTCTTGCCATCTTGGCCCGTCGTCAGGCCCCGACCGGGCGCGTCCTTGGGCCGTCCGTCCTGGGCCCACCCTCCTGGGACCGTCTTGGAGTCGTCTTGGGCCGTCTTGAGCGCGCCTTGGGCCGTCCTGGGCACGTCTGGGGCCGTGTTGGCACGAAGCTCGGAGGCGGGCTCGAGGCCTCTGTGGGGCCATTTGGAAGCTGTTGGGGCCTCTGTTGGGGCCTCGTTTGGGCTCCTTGGGAGCCTCCTTGGGCCTCTTCGGGGGATTCTTGGCGGCCCCTTGGGGCCTCTTGGGGGCCTGTTTGGGCCTCCTGGCGCCCTCTTGGGGCGGAAGGCTCGGATTTTCGGTCTGTGGTCCCCCTCTTGGCCCCGTCTTGGGCCTGTCTTCGGGCCCTCGTGGGCCGTCTTGAGCGTCTCTTGGGTCGTCTTGGGGCCCTCTTGGGCTGTCTTGGGCGCTCTTGGAGGCCTCTCGGGCCGTTCTGGGGCGCTCTTGGAGGCCTCTTGGGCCGTCTTCGAGCGTCGGAAAGCGGAAAAGGCGAGAAGGCTAAAATCCTTCCAACACCGTCGTAATGTGGATGATTTTGGCCGCTCGGGGCCCTCGGGGAATACGCTTGCAGGCCTTTTGTGCCGTCTGGGCGGTCTTTTGGAGCGCTCTTTGGGCGTCTCGGGGGGTCCTTCAGCTGTCTTGGGGGCCTCTTGGGGCCTCCAGAGCCTCTCCGGAGCCGCCCGGGGCGTCTTCAAACCGCGCCGCCCGGGGCCCGGGCGTCGGAGGGGAGCCCCCCCGGACCCCCGCCCCTCTTGGACGCGCGTGTGCCTGCAAAGTGGCTCGTCTTCCATCGGAAATGCGTCTTTTTCCCCTCCTCAGACGCTCCTGCCGGCGCGTGTTGGAGTGTCTTGGGCCGTCGTGGGCGCGAGGGGGAGGCTGCTGAGCTTCCAGGGCGCCTCCGGGGAGGCAGGCATCTCGGAGCGTCTCGGAGCGGCCTGAGGCAGCCTCGGAGCCGCACTGGAGTCGACCAGAGCTTGCTGGGACGCCCGGGGAGGGCTCCGGAGGGGCTGGCCCGCGGCCACTGCGTTACCATTTGGCTAGCGGTGGACGCTGCCTTGTAGTAGAGGCTAGGGCGAACCCGTGGACTTCGTCCGCGTCATCTTGGGCCAGATTTGGCTCGAAAAGGCCGTCTTGGGCCTGTCTTCGCTCGAAACGGCGAGAAGGTGGAAATCTTTCAGAAACCATAGAAGAATCAATGATTTTGTTTGCCGCGGCGCGTCTGGAGCGTCTTTGAGCGGTCTTGGGCCGTCTCGGAGGCCCTCTTGGACCGCTTCCTTTTCTTCGTCCGCCTTCAGATCGACCTCCGCCTAGACAGCCTTCGTAGCGTCACAGACGGCTATGGTGAGTCTGCGGTGTACGTCTCGCCGCTTGTCAATTTTGAAAGCACCTGGGGCCTTGAAAAAAGTCACCCGCAAGGCTCTGGTGACTTTTTTCCGGTTGCCTCTTCGAAGCCTGGCGGGCGCTGCGGTCTCCTTGGGAACGGTTAGTGGGTCTCTCGGGGTTTCTTTTCGAGCTCCTGGGGGCCTGCTGGGGTTTCTTTTCGAGCTCCTCGGGGCCTCGTTGGCTGTCTTGCGGCCTCCTCGGGGCCTCTTGGGGCCCTCTTGGCCCGTCTTGCGGCCTCCTGGGAGCCTTTTCTCTTGAAGCTTTTTTGGGCGCCTCTGGGGCCGTTCCCGGGCTGTCCCCCCGAGCCTCTTCCGGGGGACAGCCGAGGAAATAGATTGTGCTTGCGTGCTGTGCGTGCGTGCTCCTGTGTGAGAGGTCGACAGGGCGTCCCGACGTCACCGCTCGCTCTTGGGAGCTGTGCCTGGGAGAGCTCTCTACGCTGCGTCTCGCTCTTGGGAGCCTTGGTGAGAAGAGGTTTGCACTTCACCGATATCTCTGTTAGTGGGCGTCTCTGGGCCTGCTTGGTGGTCCTTGCGGGGGTCTTTTTCGGGCCATTCTGAAGGTTTTTTTTTGCTGCACTGGGAGCGTTTTGTGACGCTTTGGGGTCTTTTTGGGCCGTCACGGGGCGTCCAGGAGGCCTTGGACCGTCCTGGAGCTCTCTTGAGGCTGCCTGAGGCCGCCTTGGGAGCCTCTTGGGGCTCCCTCGGAGCTATCTTGGTGCCGTCTTGGGGTTCTGTAAGGCCGTTTCAGGGCTCTCTGGCGTCGTCTGAGGGCTCTTGTGCGCCGTCTTGGAGCCCTCTTAGGGGCCGCTGGCGTCTTCTTGGGGCGATTTGGGAGGCCTCTTGGCGTGTCCTGGGCCGCTGAGGAGCACTCAAGGCGGGCATGCTGAAAATATACGTTTCCCCATCAGAATTTGACGATTTGTGCCTCTTTGGCGTGCGCTCGGGACCCTCTTGGGGAGTCTTTGCGGCCTCTTGGATCGTCGTGGAGCCCCCCCCCGGAAGGCTTCGGACCCTCGTGGGCCGTCTCGGGACCCACTAAGGCCGTCTTGGAACGCTCTTGGACGGTCTGGGAACCCCTCCGGAGCGCCTCTGGGACCGGCCTGAGCGATTCGGCCCCGTGGCGGCGCCGTAAAGGGGCGACTTTGTGCACACGAGGCCCTGAGACCTTCTCGCACGCGCTTCCGCCGGCCATGTAGGAGAGATGACGTTGGGCTCCATCTTCGCCTCCCACATCTCACTGAGCACTGACAGCGCGGGTTGCCATTGCCCGCCGTGTCTGCATGCGCCGACGGTCGCAATGTAGTGGCTTGGGCGGAGTTGCACACCCAATCGAATTCCTTCGCGGAGCACCTGCAGTGCTGCGCTCCATTGTTTTGTCCGACCGCATTTTTTGATCGACTCTTCGAGGGAAATAGCGCCTCCTCGAGGCCCTCGACCGATGTCCAACATCCGGAAAAAACAATGCACCACGGCATGAGCCAAAAATACCTTGGGCCGAAACAGCTTTCAGTTCAAGCCAAACAATGGCTTGAACTGAAATTGCTACGGGGCCGTCTTGGGGCCGTCTTGGGGGCCCCTATTGCCGTCTTGGGGGGATGATGGGAACCTCTTGGGCCTTTGCGGACGCTGTGAAAACCAATACATCGCTTTCGTCCTGAATCGTTTCTGTTCGTCCTGACCAGTTCCTCGTCGTGAATCGTTTTTTCGCAGCACACGAAAGCCCCTCATTGAGGCCCGAAGTCAAGGAAAACACCTCCCGCCTCCCGCCATGAGTTGTTCATTCCCTGAGGGCGTGTTGGGACCCAGACCCCCGACGTCGCGATTTTTTTGCAACGTCGACCCCCAGAGATCTGGACCCCTTCCCCGGGACCGGCCTTCCAAGAGGCTGCAGAGCATGCTTCCCAGAAGTCGACCGAACCGTGCCGAGAAGGCCCCCCGCCTACTTCGAGTGCCTACAACCTTCGCCCCACCCCCCCTTGGGCGCCCGAGTTATCCGGGGTAACTCGGGTCTGGGGTAACTCGGGTTTGGGTTCCCGAAAAACGAACCCGAGTTAGCCCTGTCCCGAGTTACCCCTGATGAATTGGGGCTCTGGGCGCCCGAGTTCTCCGGGGTAACTCGGGCCCGGGGCAACGCGGGCTCGGGGTCCCGAAACACGAACCCGAGTTCGGCCTGACCCGAGTTGGCCCTGATGAATTGGGGCTCTGACCCCCCTGCGTCCCAGACCCCCGACGTCATGAATTTTTCATGACGTCGACCCCCAGAGGTCCAGACCCATTCCCCGGGACCGGTTTTTCGTCCTGAGTCGTTTTTTGACGGCCCCGAGGGCCGGTAAGGGCCCCCAGAGGCCGAAAATTATAAAAAACCTCGCGTCGTGATTTTTTCATAACTCGGGGGGGTCTGGGCTGCGTGTATGCAGGCGGCGTTCTTACCCATGCAGCGGGCACGCCGAGCAACGAGCCGGCCCGCCAGCGGGCCGGCCCACGAGGCACTTCCGGGTCTCCCGACGTGGCCGCAGAGCCCCGCGGCACCTCACCGAGGGGGCCCTGGGGCACGCAAGTAAATACACACAGATAAAAGGATTCATCATATTTTCATATATATACTTTCTGGGTTTTCATATATTCTCAAATAAAGGATTCATCATATTTTCATATATATTCAAATAAAAGGATTCATCATATTTTCATATATATTTTCTGGGTTTTTGTCCTCCACCCCAGTTCCCATATTTTCCCATCTGCTCGGGGCATCGACGGTTCATTGTGTATGTGTTTCCCTCCTCCTGACTCACGAGGCTCGGAGTGGACGAAGGGTGTGCCCACCAATCTCTTACAGCAGCACTTCTTACTGTGTGTGCATGCCGGACCCCTGCAGACGCCCCGAACCAACGAAGGACCAGCGGCGAGCGTGCGTAGGAGTCCTGCCACCTGGAGGCAGGACGCTTGAGGCACGGCTGCCAACTCCTGTCGTCCACGCTCCGCCGATTTGGACTCCAGAGCAGGAGGCAGAATCAAGGGCGTGGACAAAGCATCGACCGCTGATTGAGCGCGCCGCAGACAAGGAAGTACGGCTGGACAGAGGACAGAACAACATCCTTCAAGAACGTGAGACCCTCCGGCAGCCAAACTGAGGGACATTCGAGGGTGCCCTCCCCCAGGATGAACACTAGGGTCCCCTCCCCGAACCGACCTCGATTTTATGCCTCTGTCCGACCGTTGGGAAGACATCATACACCCAAAGATGCGCAAGATTCGGATGTGGAAAAAAACATCGTGGACTCTGAATCTCTCCGACGGATCGGTAGCTTCGAAGTGGGGCCCAAGCAGGAGGCAGAGGAGACGGAGTGGATGAGGAGAGTTCTTCCGGCAAGTCACCACCGCCAAGCGCACTGAATCACTTGTCTGGTTTGTATTCGTCGTCAGAGGAGACGCTTCAAGCGTTTGAGACATGCGGAAAATTATCCTACTCAAATGAGCGTATGCGCACTGTCGTGAAGCCGACTTGTCGTGCCAAAAGATGCCGGAGACGCAACGGTGCTTTGAGCGAGACATGTGCGAAGGGTGAGGAGGAGAGGGAGCGGCGAGGGGGCTGCTGTGCGGATGTGTCGAACCAGACCGCCCAAACCTTTGTACTGATGCCACGTGGCGGATGCTGGAAAATCTGAACCCAACAACGCTTCCATATCTTGGAGGGTTGTTTTTTACTTACGCTGCCTTCCGCCGGCCTTCCGCCAGCGGAGGCGGCCTCGTTGTACTCCCGCCGACCTTCCGCCGCCCTTTCGCCGCCTTCCGCAGCGGAAGAGACGGACAACCCCCTCGATCCTCGAAGGCAAGAATTTCGTTTTCTAACGCCTCACATGTTTATCGAGTCATTAGGGTTATAGGGCTCTGAGTGCCCTCGATGAGGCCAGGAGAGGCCGGAATCGAATCGAGAAGTCGGATCGGCGAGCGAAATGCACCGGATTGGCGGATATCGGCAGCCGAGTCGGGGAAAGGTCGACTCGGCGGACATCGGGAGGACAGTATGCCTCCACTGAGAAGAATCGGAGCCCGAGCCGGCATCCCAGACCGAATCGAATCGGAATCCGAGGCCATCGAAGTCGAATCGGATGGTGGGGATTGAAACGCGCCCGGGAGAGGCGACGGGAGGAGGCGACGCACGAGGCTCCTGGAGGTCGAGCTTCCCCAGCACCGCCCGCCGCCGCCCGCGGGCCGCCTGCCCCTCCTCGCGCGGCGACCGGGGGGGCGCGGGCCCCGAGCCAGAAGCATCGTGCCGCTTTTCGTGGGCCCGTCTCGCAGCGCAGAGACGCCGCGAATGTATATACACATATATATATATACATACACAGCAGTAGTAGTAGTAGTAGTAGTAGTAGTAGTAATAGTAGTAGTCGTAGTAGTAATACTAGTAGTAGTAGTAGTCGTAGTAGTAGTAGTAGTAGTAATCGAAGTAGTAGTAGTAGTAGTAGTAGTAGTAGTAGTAGTAGTAGTCGTCGTAGTAGTAGTAGTAGTAGTAGTAGTAGTAGTAGTAGTAGTAGTCGTAGTAGTAGTAGTAGTAATAAGTAGTAGTCGTAGTAGTAGTAGTAACAGTAGTATTAGTAGTATAGTAGTAGTCGTAGTAGTAGTAATAGTAGTAGTAAAAAAAAGTTAGTAGTAGTAAGTTGTAGTGTAGTAAGTAGTAGTAACAGTAAGTAGCATAGTAGTAGTAGTAATACTAGTAGTAGCAGTAGTGAGTAGTAGTAGATAAGTATAGTAGTAGTAAGTAAAGTAGTAAGTAGTAGTAAAGTAGTAGTACGTAGTTCTTAGTAGTAGTAGTAGTAGTAGTAGTAGTAGTAGTAGTAGTAGTAGTAGTAGTAGTAGTAGTAGTAGTAGTAGTAGTAGTAATCAGTAGTAGTAGTAGTAGTAGTAGTAGTAGTAGTAGTAGTAGTAGTAGTAGTAGTAGTAGGTAGTAGTAGTAGTAGTATAGCCCAGTAGTAGTAGGAAGTAGTAGTAGGTCGTAGTAGTAGGTCGTAGGTCGTAGGTAGTAGCAGTAGGTCAGTAGTGGTAGGGTGGTAGTAGTAGTATATAATAGTAAGTAGTAGAGTATAGTAGAAGAATAGAGTAAGTAGTAGCAGTAGTAGTAGTAACGTAGTAGTAGTAGTAGTAGTAGTAGTAGTAGTAGTAGTAGTAGTAGTAGTCGTAGTAGTCGTAGTAGTCGTAGTAGTAGTAGTAGTAGTAGTAGTAGTAGTAGTAGTAGTAGTAGTAGTAGTAGTAGTAGTAGTAGTAGTAGTAGTAGTAGTAGTAATAGTAGTAGTAGTAGTAGTAGTAGTAGTAGTAGTAGTAGTAGTAGTAGTAGTAGTAGTAGTAGTAGTAGTAGTAGTAGTAGTAGTAGTAGTAGTAGTAGTAGTAGTAGTAGTAGTAGTAGTAGTAGCATAGTAGTAGTAGTAGTAGTAGTAGTAGTAGTAGTAGTAGTAGTAGTAGTACTAGTAGTAGTAGTTAGTAGTAGTAGTAGTAGTAGTAATTAGTAGTAGTAGTAGTAGTAGTAGTAGTAGGTAGTAGAGCGTAGTAGTAGTAGTAGTAGTAGTAGTAGTAGTAGTAGTAGTAGTAGGTGTAGTAGTAGTAGTAGTCGTAGTATAGTAGTATTAGTAGTAGTAGTAGTAGTAGTATAGTCGTAGTAGTAGTAGCAGTAGTGTAGTAGTAGTAGTAGTCGAGTAGTCGTAGTAGTATAAGTAGTAGTTAGTAGTTAGGGGTGCGCCGCTGGATCTCCCCAAGGGGGGGGGGGGGCCCCCCCCACCCCTTTCCCCGATCCGTCGTCGGGGACCCCCCCCATCCCCCCCTTCCCCGATCCGTCGTCGGGGACCCCCCCCCCCCTCCGCCCTTTCCCCGATCCGTCGTCGGGGACCCCCCCCCCTTTCAAAAGGGCGGGGGGGGGTCCCAACCCCCCCCCCCGTCCCCCCCTTTGGCCGCACCCCCCCCTCCTCCCCCCCTTTCGCCACGCCGCCACCTGACTCCGGAACACCCCCAGTCCGCACCCTAACCGAAACCCCTAACCTGACTACTCGCTATTCGCTACTCACTTCTCACTACTCCCTACACACTACTCGCGACTCGCTACTCACTATCCACGACTCACTACCCACCACCCACTACTCGCTACTCACTACTCCTACTCACCACTCCCTCCTCCCTACTCACTACTCACCACTACTCTCTCCTCACTACCCACTACTCTATACTCACTACTCACTAAGCACTACTCACTACTCCCTACTCACTACTGACTAAGCGCTACTCATTATCCACTACCCACTACTGTCCCCCTGCAGTGGATTTTCGACGAAAAATAAAAAATGCCGCAAAAACACATCAAAAAGGGAAACAAATACACCAAAAATAGCTCCCAGACCATTTTGGGATTATTTTTTTGATTATTTTCGGAGTATTCTCCTTTTTCGTCGAAAATCTTCCTGTAGGGGGACAAGCCCGACTTAACACG